AGGGGGTGGCTGGGACCCCAGGGTGCCACGGTGGGTTCCGGGTGCCACCTCACCCTTCAACAGGGACGTCCCTGCAAAGTCAGCGTTCAAAGCATCACTTCCAATATCCGTCTGTTTTCCCATCCTGCCATGGAGACGCCTCCTTATATAAACCCTGTTAAGTAGGACGGCCTTTTATATCTCTTTCTGCCATCGCTGCTGGTGGCTGTGGAGGCTCCGGGCCCCTGAGCCATCCCCACTGCCTGCTTGGCAGCCCAGGAGAAAAGCCATCTGAGTGTGTGCAGCTGGGCTGCCCTCGTGCCAGGGCTGGAAGGGGCTGCACCCATCCCAGGCAGCAGCCACCAGCATCTTCTGGGTGCACCCAACACCCTGTCACCCTGGAGGTCCAAGGGATGGTTTTGAGCCAGGAACAAGGGACGGGGAATTAGTTGAAGTGACTGAGTTCATGCAATAACCTCCCCGGGGAGGGGGATGCTGTAGCAGAGCAGGTGGAAAGGGTGAGCATGAGATGGTGTCATCACCACACTTAGATGCCTCAGATCCCCCCATATTCACCAAGAAGACCCCTGTCACTGGGGCAGCCCCTGCCCAGGCCCACAGGACCATGGCATCCCCTAATTCACTATCCTTTATGGCTCCCTCTGGCCAGAGCACCCCCTCCTTGCTGCCCTCGCCGTGCCTCCCCACTGCCTTTTCTCCAGCCCTGTCTGACATCTAAAATGATGGCTTTAACAGGGGTAAATTTTTGATGAACAAGGTATTAAATATTTGTGGCTGTTGCTTGAGCTTTCAATTATTCAGCTTGAAAGTGCAGGCAAGGTGTGGGCAGCCCCCACAGCAGCGTCCCAGGCTGCCACGCTCTCCCTGTGGCAGGGAAGGACACGAGGACACGGTGACCACGTGGGACACGGATGCGCTGGGCACAGCTGGTGAGCTTGGGTAAAGCCTGCTAAAAACCCTCCACCCCACACTGCGGGGAAAAACAGAGCTGTTTCACTGGGAAAAATCATTGTAATTCCCATGAAAACCCTCCCGGGGGGAGAGAGGCCACTCGAGCGGGTGAAGCCTCGCTGGGATGGAGGTGATGCTGTCACCTCGTGCTGCAAACTTCAATTTGCTGCCTTGGCTTCCACACGTGTTTTTCCACCTTTCCTTGGATTTGCTGCCTTGGTCGTGGAGTTGTGAAGGGTATTTAACAGCTCCTGGGTCTCAATTCTCCTCTACCGGCTTCCAGCTTTTGGGAGAAGGATGTCAGCATCTATGGGGAGGTGCAGAGCATCCCTGGTGCCCCCCATCCCTCCCTCCAGCCAGCAGTCCCAGGGAGAGCTGCTGCTCCTGCAAATCTGGCTGTGTTATTAGGGGAGCTCGTTATTGCATTGGGGCTCCATTGGGGTGCTGCTCGTGAGCCGACGCTGTGGCCACGGACACCACCCAAACCTGCACCCCCCGAACTCAGGCACCCACTCCCGCTCGGTGCTTCGCAGTCGGTCGGTCCTGGAACGTACCTGAGGGAAGCAGCCAAGAGACATAAAAATCCCTGCTGAGCCTCTGCCAGCCAGAGGAGCGGCAATTAAAACAAAATGATTAATCACAAACAGTGAGTGGCTATAAAACTTTCCAGTAATAGGGGCGAGAGCGGGATGAGCAGCTCAGGAGCTGAGGAGGCTCCCGGCTGTAGCAGGGGAGCGGTGCTGTGTTTCCAGCAGGTTTAGGAGACAAACGCTGCTCCTGCCGAGGGGATGGACAGTCTCTGGTTGTTCACAAAGTGCTGAGCTCCCTTCTGGCTTCAGAGGGAGAGGAGCTGCTTGGCTGGAGACACCCCCTTGGCCAGGAGACGGCGGTGCTCGCTGGGCTGGATGCTCTTCACCACGGCGCCCATGACATTGCCTTCTGCTTGTGCTGGGGCCACTCTGGTTCATCTGGGATGAGGGGGAAAGCCAAGGGCAGGATTTCCCTTTCCCAAACCCAATTTGCCCAGGGTTTGGGTTCCACAGACACTGGATGCTTGGGCAGAGTGTATTTTGGATTGCCTTTCTCTGAGCATCACATCAGCTCCATCCACCCCCAAGGTGCATCCCCATTCTCAGTCTGCTCCGAGCCCAGGGGAGCACCCAGAGCTTAACCCCAGTGTGGTGTTTGATTGTCCTCCTCACCCCATGATGGGGATGGCAGGGACGTGGGTAGGGATGCAGTGCAAATAGATAACAAGTGATCACAAAGGGGAGGACCAGGGGAGGACAGGCTGAGAGAGTTGGGGGGTTCAGCCTGGAGAAGAGAAGGCTCTGGGGAGACCTTAGAGCCCCTTCCAGTCCCTAAAGGGGCTCCAGGAGAGATGGGGAGGGACTCTGGATCAGGGAGGGGAGCCATAGGAGGAGGGGGAAGGGTTTGACCCTGAAAGAGGGGAGATGGAGCTGAGCTGTGGGGAAGAACTTCTTGGCTGTGAGGGTGGTGAGAGCCTGGCCCAGGTTGCCCCGAGAAGCTGTGGCTGCCCCATCCCTGGAGGGGTTCAAGGCCAGGTTGGAGGGGGCTTGGAGCAACCTGGTCTGGTGGGAGGTGTCCCTGCCCAGGGCAGGGGGTGGCACTGGGGGGGGTTTAACGTCCCTTCCAACCCAAACCACTCTACGAGTCTAAGGCCAGCCTTGGAATCCCATGCAGTTGGATCACCCGGTGTCAAGTGGCAATGGAGAGCAGAAGTGAGGTGTTTTTCCCCTCCTTGGGATGGATTCAGTTTGCATTTACTCCAGCGTGTGTGTATGTCTGTGTGTGTGTCTCTCTGTGTGTCTGTGTGTGTGTGTGCAGGCGTGGGAGGGCTGGCAGCAGAGACCCAGCATCCCGCCGGGCTGCTCCCGCCTGCGGTCAGGTATGCAAACTTTCTTCCCTTTGAAGAAAGGAAACCCAAGGATTAGCCGGGCTCTTTCATTGCCATGGCAACCCTAAAACATTTATCAGAGATAATTGCCGAGAGGCCGGATCCTGAGCGACTCTGGGCACAACGCTGCCACAGGTTGCTCCTCTTTGCTTTGAAACCTGCATCTTCTGAGCATCTCCATCCTGCTGCTGTTGGGCTGGAAACTGCAAGGAGGGACCGAGGACACGTCCCCAACACCCTCCTGTCCCCGGGCAGGTGCTGGAAGGGCTCCTGCTGAAGGGAGAGGGATGCTCTTTCCATTCGATACACTGGTTTAATACGAGGGGCATCTGTCCTCCCCAAGAGCCTGCCTGTGGCAATCGAACTGCATCACCGTGGTGGGAAGGAGAATCCATTTCCAACACTATTATTCTTATTAATAATAATTTTAAAAATTGCCTTAAAATGGTGGTGCTGACCTTGGCACAAAGCATGTGCTGGGACTCGGCACCGGTTGGGGTAAATGGGATTTTTGGATTCGTCTCAAGTCATTAACTCCTCCCAGCCAGTCATTAATCGCCAGGAAATGCCCTGTGACTTGGATCGTTGCTGCTTAATTAATACAAGCTCCCATCCCCAGGAGCTCGGGGCCAAAGCCTGAAGTCATCCTTCCACACAAAGCTTCCCCTTGGCTGCGGGAAATGCTCCCCAAGGCCGTGGTGTCTGTGGGTGCCAGCAGGAACTGAGCGGGTGCTGAGGGATGAGGGTGCTGTGGGATGCAGGATGCGGGTGCTGGTGTGGCCAGCAGAAAATTACCCACAGACTGGAGCCAAGGACAGCATTTTTTTTATGGATTTCTACACCACCAAGCACCACCCCACAGCCAGGATAACCTCTCTGAGGCAGGAGCACGACCCCGAGCACTGCAATAGATTATCCCAATAATGGAGAGTCGTACGGGAAGCCTTCACACACACTTGTGTTCCCTCCATCCCCAGCAAGGGATACGCAGCAAACACTTGTTTCTTCCCTCCTCTCTTCAAACAGCTCTCACGCAATTAGCTTTATCCCTCTTAACTTGTCAAAAATAGAAAATGCAACACCTCCCGTTGCCTGCTCTTCCCTGCCCTGGTCTTTTGTGATCCCTCTTCTTAAAAGAGAAATAAACCCCCATTTATCACAATAATGATTTTTATTTCCAAGCATTGCAGGTGATTTATGGACCTGTTTCCCCGCAGCCGCTCTCTCCCGCAGCAGAAGGAGATGAATGCCTTTT